AGCTACATTCTCTTAATGAATAGAGGGATTTGTTCTAATAGTGTTTGTATCATGTCAGCATCTTGTACAGCAAATAACCACTAGGAAGAGAGTATGCAATGTGTTAATTATTGAAACTGTCATATCAATTTGATTTGAAAGTGTCTCATTGCTATTTGTCTCTCAATAAAATTATGGAAAAAAATAAAATAAATTAAAAAATAAATTTATTTTTGAAAAAATGAAAAATACAAAAATAAATTTTATTGTTTGGTTTGGGTTAATTCGACTTTCTTACATTTTATGATAATAGATTGGTGAAATATGGAATGAAATATATGAAGAAATAAAACTGGAAAACCTAAGACCAGTCACTTCAGATAAAAGAATTTTGGAAACGATTACAACAGCCTCGGAAAACATTGGCAAGATGGTTGCTTCTCTGCAAAGCGAGATGATTGAAAGCCAAGCACGCCAGGATGTACAACATGAACAAAAAGTGTACACAAAAGTAAGCCACAGACGCCCAGAAAGCATAAGACACCGGTGTCCACGTGTGGACTAGCGAAGTGATTCATAGAGTATCTGTCTTCTGGGTCCCTTTGGCTTTCTTTCATAGAGATTTTCAGTGTTTCTGTGCAGTTTTAGAAGAAACCATGGAATTAAAAGGTTAAGATTCAATGACTATTTTCAAAGCTGTTCTGTGGCATTATGATTTGATTTCTACTGCCATATTTTTAAAAGGTAAAGCAATATATCTGGGACACCTCCACTTTTTGAAATGGTGAAGAGGCTCCCAAAACTTGTGTTCTACTTAAGTGCCTTCATTTCCCAGATTCCACTTGACAGCGTATCTGTAATGATATGCATAACTTCCCATGTCACTGGCATGTCAGTTGTGGGCTGATTGGTCAGTCAGATCATCCTCATCCCAGTGCTAAAACCCTCACCATGAGCATCCATGCTGTAACTCCACAGGCAAACTCATCTCTGACTTTAGCCAATTGGAAAATTCTGTCAGGGAAATAACAACTAGCTTCCTAAAACTTTACAAAGATGAGAAACTGAATGCATTATTTATTTATTTACTTATTTATTTTAGTACAGGGTCTACAGGGCCTCACTACAGAGATTAAACTCATAGTGATGCTTCTGTTTTCAGTCTCCCAAGCACTAGGATTACAGTCTCAATTGCCATCACAGCACACCCCTGGGGTGGAGCTGACATAGCACACTGGGAATCAAACCCCTATCCCTGCACCTGCCTAAGCAGGCACTTTAGTCCTCTGAGCTATCTGGTCGGCCCTTGATCATTTATTTTTGAGCAATTAAATTAAGTAGATATTTAAGTTCACTTATCCCCAAATACAAAAATAATATAGATCCCCAACTTCTGCTTTGCAATCCTTTATTGATTACAATTAAGCATTTTAAACTCTTGGCTGGGGAGATAGCTCAGCAATCTGAGCACCTGTCTGGCAAGCGCAAGGACCCAGGTTTGATGCTGGGTACTGCATGCTGGTGCAGGCATGCCCTGCTGGCCACTGAAACTAGGTGTGGTAGTGCACATCTGTAATCCCAGCTCAGGGACAGGAGGAGCACTATGAGTCTGAGCTGAGACAGGAGGAGACTAGGAGTCTGAGATGCATAGACCCTGTACTAAATAAAAGATTTAAAAATTTTTTGACTCTTCAAAGTGTTTTCTATTGCTTAATTTTTTAATACAGACTACGCAATATTTATATATACAGCCTAGGAGGAATTGTGTCAATCTATGACTTCTACTCCATTTCATACAACCACTTGCTTGAAAGTGTTTTCAGTGAGAGTTAAAATTAATGCTACCATTTAATCCCTTTGTTGGCTCTCAAATGAGGCAGTAGAGTTGGAATTTATGCAGCTCATATTAGTCTTCTGAACAGAATTTTTCTGTACTGTATTGACTAAACAGTGTTGATTTATTCTTGATGATTCTTTAGCATAGCTGTGATTCCCCCCTGCCTGGCAATTGTTTGATTAAATAGTCTTAGGGTCATAATTTAAGCTTAATGGTACTGCATGTGAGTGGCCAGGTGACAGGTGGTAAAAAGAATTTACAACCAGTCAAGGAATATAGGAAAGTTAAGAGTTTATTGATACAATGTGAGAGTAGCAGACAAGCCTACAAGCAGACTGTGCTGTCAGGGTGAAAGGCTGAGGCGTTTGTTTTGGATTTTAATGTGAGGAGGGTCTAGAGGTCTAGAAACACCATCCCAGAAATGCATTCATCAGGTCGTGGTGGTTCCATGGTCCATCCAGCCCATGCTCAAGGCTACCCAGCTCTTGTGTGAAGGTTGAGTAACGTTTTGTTCCATAGAATTCAGTGCCCTTGGTGTTGTTAAAAACAGCCCTTCCAAGTAAAATTAATTAACAAATATGTATGAGCTAAATAGGGTTCATGATCAAAGGAGCCACTCAGCATAAAATGTATTTGCTTGTCCTAAAAGAAACCTTTGATGTCCTATTGGGAAGGAGAAAAAATAGTTTCTTAGGACATGGAAAATGGTTAGCTTATGTGGTGATGAATGTGCAGTTCTTGAGCGTGGACTGCAAGGTCGAAATAATAATCTGTTGCAGATTCACCACTCAGCTGCAGTCACTCTACAGCTTGTGTACTGACCAAGGCTTGTGATATGGTTTGTGTCTGGTTGTCTTCCCAAAGCCTCATGCAGTCATGCTGCGGCTTCTGGAGTTTGTGACTGATTATTGTGGGTGTGGGTACTGCACCCACCCTGGAGTAGGTAATCTGCATTACAGTGTAAGGAGGGGAGAGGCTGGCTAGCTGCCTGACCTGCTGCCACTCCCTTGTCTCTCTCGCTTTTTGCCACCTCCATGAAAGATTGCCCTCTGCCATGTGCTGCTCTGCCTTGGAGCCAGCTGAGCATGGACTGAAACCTCCACTAACCGTGAGCTAAATAAACCTTTCCTTCCTTAATTTGTGGTGTTGGGTATTTCGTTCCAGCAACAAGAGAAGAATAACTGAGACAGCCTGTTTCCTTGGGCACCTGGCTAGCACAACAGAGTCTGTTCACAGTCCTTCCCTGGGTTGCACTGCAACAGCAAACTCAGTATTCTTGCAGGGCTGCTTGTCTTGTTGCAGTCATATGTCAGAAGTAGTTTCAGCAATATAATTTTACTAACCTCATTATTAGTGGCCAGCACTAATGTTCACCTGTGAATTTTCTCTTGCATCATGTGTTCAGTCTTCTCTGAATTACAGTTCGTCTTCACAGGCGGTAATCATGCAGTTCAGTCAGTCTTGCTGAGAATGTTTATCACTGTAAAGTAGCAGTTTTGCATCACATCTCATGGAAGTTCAGATGTGAGCCACATGAGTGAAGGATTTTCTATTTGAGGATTTTGGTATTTTAAAATTAAGTTCTATGAAAACGTTAATCATTGTGCTACCTGGCCATAAATTTTACCTTAGTAAAGAGTAGGTGCAGGGGCCAGGGAGATAGCTCAGCAGTCTTAAGTGCCTGCCTGACAGGCACAGGGACCTGGATTTGATCTTCAGTGATACCGGGAGAAAAACTGATCTCAGGTGGGTGACCTCCAAAGGATACAGGGAACCTCCAAATGACATAGGGAAAAATGATCTCCCGACCTGACCTGCACAAGTTCATGTTCTCTAAAACTGAAAAATGAATTTTAGGAACGAACAGAGGTTATGAGTAGAATATATTTATTGAGGGAAAGAAAGCTCCTGTCAGAGAGAGAGACCAGAGGGGGGCCCTGAGCAGGTTGTTCCCCAGGAAGATGTCTCTTCCAGGGATTTTTATAGTGTAAAACCACGCAGTGAGGCAGGTCTAAGGTGGAGAACATGTGAACTCGCTTAGGTGGGCATGAGGTGGGACAAAACTATGGTCAACCAATGAGATTACAAGCACCACTGCTCAGGTAAAATCGATTAAGTCCAGGATCAAATGGGGAAGCAAGTCATGTAGCAAGTGGTCATGAATGTAAAGAAAAGGACTTTATCAGGTAGACATCCAGTAGTAGTCGAATTAATGATTCTCTGGCTGCCTCAGGGTGATGATCAATCTTGGGTGCCAATCTTTAGGGAGGGCAGCATTTGTTTGATCTTTGGTCTTAGGTCTGGCCCATGGTGCAGGTGCATCTGTCCCTCCCACAGTTGTAAGGTATCTTGTCTACTGTATTATCTCCTTTGAGGGCCTGGCCCTGTCTGACTGCCTATAATATTTCTATCTAATTCGGCTGCCTGCAACACCGGAACTGCATGCTGTGCCAGCCCTGCTCTGAGCCAATCACCAAAACTGGGTGTGTTGGCACAGGCCTGTAATCCTGGTGCTGGGGAGGCTGAATAGGAAGATCACTATGAGTCCAAGGTGTGTAGTGAGATCCTGTACCTAATTAATTAATTAATTAATTTAAAAAAGAGTCGGTATACTCTTCCAAAGAGGGGCTTTCAGGCCCTTCACAATCATTTTACAGAAACTGAAATCCTCAATTGCATTTCTCCTTTCAGATACAAACTGCACACAAGCAAAGAGAACTGGCTAATAAATCATGGGAAAATTTCTTGGCTAGAACATCAAATACTAAAACATTAAAGGTAAGATTCTTAAGCTATTACAATATATACAACAAACAAGCAATATTTTAAGGACAGATTTTTCTTTTCAGACATGGATACTCATTTAGTTTTCTGGTGAGCTTTTGGTAGAACACCCTTTCATTCTGTTATTTCTTTTCTATAAGAAGCCTCAAAGGCTTTCTTCCCTTGTTTAACTACCAAAGAAAACAAGGTTTAATTGAGAATTTAAGATAAATGTCTCTTTGAAAACAAGTATGAAAAACTGCTTCTGCTAGAAGCTAGAAACCAGTCTAAACATGTATATGTTAATTATTCACTCTAAATTTGTGAGAAGCACCCTAGATTTCCAAAATTTCATTACTTTTCCTTTACTATCTTTACATACCTTTTCTATTACTTTAGATGGTTGTTTACATAATGCTACAATTCTTTCTCTAGATATCAAACTGATAAATTTTAAGTTAGTCCATAAAAATAAAAGAACCATAATAAGATAGCAGAACCTAAGAACAAGGGCCCTGGGCTACCAGAGCCCTTCTTTTCTGTGGACATTCCTTCCAGCTGTATTCACAAAACATCCTCATAGCTGCCTGCATTTTTAAGGAATAGTGATGACAGAAGTCCCTTAGATGTACAGCATTTGTTACTTCATATTTTAACTATTTAATGCCTGAAGTAGTGAGCTTGACACTAACTACAGTGAATTATATAGTCTATATTATTCCAAATAATATTCTATATTATTCCTATATATATATTACTCCTATAATATTCCAAATATTTGACACATTTACGTGTAATGAATTAGTATTTAATTTATGCCACATTTTGAAACAAGCATAGCCCGATACAAATTTAGTAGCTTATTAAATTATGTGCTAAAAATGAAATCTGATTTCCTCAGTACTTCTTTTACTCCTTTGGCAAATATGACCAGCATCTCAGGAACTCAGAATGTTTTCAGGTGCCCGATATCCTCTTCAATGCACAAAGAACCCAACTTACATTAATGAGTAAGCACCTAAAGGAGTAAAGGCAAGATGTCAGACCGTATAATAAAAAGCTAAATAATAAGCCAAACACAATTAAATACACTTTGTATTTTCATTACAATTACCATGGTTAATGATTTAATAGCAATTAGTATTACTTTCTTTATAATTTAAATTTTTTTTTAGAAAGCAAAAAGGCTGCAGGAAAAGGCCATTGAGTCCTCTAAGAACGAGCGACCACAAAATGCAGTTTTTCACCCAACGGTTATAAAAGGCCTTAACACAACGGTAAGACTTTGTCCACAAGTTTCTCTTAGTAGATAAACGCATGTAGGTCCCGTAACTGTTCTTTCTATGGGAATTTGGTGTTGTGCGTTTTCTTCTGACTGTTCGTTCAGGTTTCCCACTGTTAAGGTATATTTTTTTCTCCTGGGTACAACACCCCCTCCTCACCTTGCCTAGGGCTGGCTTACAGCGTAGCCCTGCGCTCCAGGTCCCTAGGAAATCGCCACCAACCTCAGAGTGTGTCTGTCCAGAAACACTAGTGTATGTCTACCTGTTGGTCTAGAGCAGCGCGACCGTAGCTGGCGTTCCTGGCGCCCTCTGCCGGTCATAAAGGTGATAAGCAATAGGAGTAGAACTGAAACCCACTTTTCCTAGATCCAGAGTCTTATCTTTCCATTATGGTCTGCTGCCTTCCTAGTTACAGCTTTTCGACTAAAAAAAAAGCAAAAAACAAAAAACAAAAAACTTAGTACATGTTTTCAGTATCTACTGTTTGGATTCCTTATTGGGAGTTGGTCCATGAACACCATTTTCATCCCTCTCCCTCACTTCCTTCTCCATCTTTCCTGGTCCCCATGCTATTTGAGAAAAATTACTTATATTTACTTTATAACTTTTTCAAAGTAAGAAGAAGGATGAAGGGGTTTTTCTTTGATGGGAAAATTGTACCAGAAGACTCACTTAGATATTTCCCTTTTGCTCTCTTAGGTTCCCTCTGGTCCAGTGGTGACAGTGGAAAGCACTCCCGTCAGATTATTGGGAGGACCTCTGGCTGACACAGATATTGCTATAAAAAAGCTTCCTATTCGAGGAGGAGCGCTGCAGAGAGTGAAAACAGTTAAAACTGTGAATGAGACAAAAAGGAGTATTCCAACTTAGTGTACGTTAGAGACTTTTTGAAATAAATCCTGCTTATAAGCTTTTAGGTAAATATATCTTTATGTATAACTGTAAAGCAAATATTTAAGAATAAATATTTTAGTAAAATTCTGTAAAAATTAAAAGACTATTTTTTGGAAAATATCAACAAATACTATCAAAAAATTTGTCATCAATTTCTTTTGGAAAGACTGTATATTCTCTTAATTAAAATTATGAATCTAATAGATCAATTGGGACTCTTTTAGTTGCATCAGAACTACTCCAGGTACTTTCACCAGAAAATTTGGAAGTTCTGTATCTGGCAGATCTAGGAATAATTTAGACTTGCAAACATGGTTGAATCTAGTGACTGAGCTAGGTTAGTAGGATCATCTCATGCTAGCAGCTTCTGGCTTTTGTTTTCTGAGGCCCATATTCAATAGAAAAGAATGCCTGCCTCTCAACAGTTACCACAACTGCCTATGTATCTCTGGACCCTGGATTGCCTGCTCCTGAGTGATTCACCATGACTTTGGCCATATCTGAGTACTTCCTGTTGGAGCCAGAAGCAGGCCAACACCTGACCCAGTACATGTGGATGTAATGGAGAATCAAAGTAGTGATCTCAGAGACATAAACTAGTACTAGGCAGCAACAAATACATTGGTCAAAGTCAAATAAGTTGTATCTGTTTATAAAAAGCAAATGTTAACCATGAGCTAAATAAAAGTGCTAATGCAGATGGTTTTACTCTTATTATAAGCATTACAATTTGTAAGTGTAAATACCAGTCTAT